TGGTAGCAGCCTTTGACCACTCGAACTCACTTTTCTTCAAGCAATCGGTAATAGGGACCATGATGGTACTGAAGCCCTTGATAAACCGACGATAAAAAGTAGTGAGTCCGTGAAAGCTTCGAACGTCTCTAATGTTCTTGGGTTCGGACCATTCTTCGATAGCTCTAACATTTTCAGGGTCAGCGGATACTCCTTCAGACGAGACCACAAATCCTAGAAAAATGACTTGTGTAAGAAAAGTACACTTCTTAGGATTGGCATAAAGTTGCTCTTTTCTTAATACGACACAGACTTGACGCAGATGGTCCACATGCTGCTCACGAGAGTTACTGTAAATAAGGATATCGTCAAAGTAGACCATCAAGAATTTTCCCGTGAAGAGGCGGAGTACTTGAGTAATCACTCTCATAAAAGTGCTCGGATAAAAGTGCTCGGAGCGTTGGTCAAACCAAAGGATATGACTATCCATTCATACAATCCATCTTTTGTCTTGAAAGCGATTTTTCATTCGTCACCGGGACGTATGCGAATTTGATGGTAGCCATTTTTAAGATCAATCTTAGAGAAGATGGTGGCTCCAGACATTAAGTCAAGCATGTCATCCAACCGGGAAATGAGGAAACGGTATTTCACCGTGATCTTGTTGATTGCACGACTATCCACACACATACGTCATGTTCCATCTTTCTTAGGCATCAATAATGCGGGGACCGCACAAGGGCTTATGTTCTCTTTCACAAATCCCTTCTTCAACAGCTCATCAACTTACCTTTTCAGCTCTGTGCTCATTGGGTTCATCCGATAGTAAGACAAATTGGGAAGGGTTGCTCCCGGGACTAAATCAATTGCGTGTTGGATATCACGCATCGGGGGTAATTGGTCCGGGAGGTCCTCAGGGAAGACATCAGCGAATTCTTCTAACACAGGAGTGACTTCGGGAGGGACCACATTAGCAACGTCTTTAGGGGCTTCTCGAGCAGCAAGGACGAATACGAGAGCTCCATTAGCCAGTTCATGATCGATTTCTTTGGCCCCAATCAGGTTAACACCTCGGGAAGACTTGTCTGGGTCGGGCTTCTTGTCACTACCTTTCGGTTGAATCAGAAGGATCTTGACCTTCTTCCCGTCATGCTCGAACAATAGCATGTTGGATCGTCCGAAGATATGAACGTCGTTATCAAATAGCCAGGGTCTCCCAAGAATAACTTGACCCACATCCATCTTCAGAACATCATACCAAACCTTGTCCTGGTAAATGGCAAATTAAAGAGGGACTAAACACCTCTCTTGGGCATGTAATGCAGTGTCATTAATCCATGATACCTTGTATGGATTAGGATGAGGTACGACCTTAAGGCCAAGCTTGGCGATCACAGCTGAGGAGACCGCGTTAATGCAGCTTCCACTGTCCACGATCACTTTATAATTTTTATCACCAATCTTTGTGAACGTATGAAAAATAAAAGTACGTCTCCAATCATCAACAGTCTTGGGTTGGGAGATGGCGCATCTGACAACTGATACGGTAGGAGTTTTAATTTGTCTAAGACAACCTAAGACAGTATCATCTGCATCATCCTCGAAATCATCGGTATCATCATCAACTTGATGAACAAACTCGTCGCTGTCAGGTTCAGGTTCGTATTCGTATTGGCCATCGATGATAGCAACCTTGTGACGGGTCGGACAGTTCGCGGAAACATGCCCATACCCTTGACATTTGTAGCACTTGACGTGAGCGCCAATCTTGGAGAAATCTTTCTCCGGTTCCTTGCCTTTGGGGTCGACTTTAGACGGGGAAGAACTGGGGTTAGATCAACCCGGAGGATGACTAGAAGTAATGGCACGAGAAGATTGGGAGGAATGGGTTCTAAATTCCTGACTCTTATAAGATTGATGGGATTTGGCTTCATTTAGGTCTTGAACTAACACGTAAGCTTTCTCAAGGGTGTCCACTCCCCTAGTAAAGAATTCGGTTTGCAGATCGTTTCTCAATCCAGCTCTAAATTTTGATAAGACTTTCATTGGCGCCTCTTGTTCAATGGTGTTGCATCAAGTGAACAGTTCGTCAAATTGTGCGATGTATTCTTTCGCAGATTTTGCTTCTTGAGTGAGACGATGCCACTTATCTAGCAATCGATGATAAAATGATGGCGGAAGGTATTTCTGTTTAAGTTCGTTGGTCATTTCTCGCCAAGTTATAATCGGTAACTCACCTCTAATGTGCCTCAACGTTTCGAGGTTGGCCTAATATTGACAGGCAGGTCCGGTAAGTTTCATAGCGACGAACTTGACCTTTCGGGGTTCCGTCAGGACGTACCAATCGAAGTAACGATCCATGCTCTTCAGCCAGTCCAAGAAAGCTTGTGGGTCAAGCTTACCGTCAAAGGTAGGTGCACTGACCTTAATACTCCTCAGGTATTGCGCATCTAGATCAGGTACAGGTTGATGTGGGGGGCGCTAAATGATGTTTCCATAGCCTTGACCTTGCAGCGGTAGGGCGATGTGTTGATAACCTTGATCTTGCGACGGTGGGACGATGTTTTCATAACCTTGACCTTGTAGCGGCGGGGTTGCAACACGTGTTTCCTCGATCCTAGCGAGCCTTTCATTGGTAGCTCTACTCTCTTGGGTTAAGTTACCTATTTTTCCTGCTAGCTTAGCGATTTGCTTAAGAATTTTAGAGAATTCGTGATTTGCACTGCCTGACATGCTGGACTCACTAATTTGATCAACTTGACTCTCCTAATCGATAGGGTAGACCCGTGCGAGTGGGCATGCACTAACAACTAGATGATATGAATGGGTGCACAAATATTAAATGAGATGATTGTTTTTTTTATTAACTAAAAAGAAATTTCCTAACCTAAAACCACGCTCTGATACAAAAAATGATGCGAAACAATGTGATGTAGGTATGAAGATTAACGACAACAATGCTTCGTCAATCAGCGATCGATCTAGGCAGGAAGCTCAAGAATAAAGTGTAGCTTTCGATGGTTTTTAAGCAAAAGTATCAGCGATCGATCTAGGCAGGAAGCTCAAGAATAAAGTGTAGCTTTCGATGGTTTTTAAGCAAAAGTGCAATGTACTAAGTTCAAACCCTTTTGAAGTGTAGCTTTCGATGGTTTTTAAGCAAAAGTGCAATGTACTAAGTTCAAACCCTTTTGTAAATTATCTAGAAAATAAATGTAATGATTCGTTCTCTTAATACAGTTCAATTTGTAATATTTAAACTAGCAAATATACTTAACAATTGAATCACTTGCTCACTAATCAAACTGAATGCAGCACAAGCACAGTCGATAATAATATTAATAACAACATGCATGTAACAGCAGTTCCGAAAATAGTTAGGCGAAAGAAAGTTAAACATTCGTCGGGTTGAATGGGTTCGACGAGAGGATCCTCCGGAGGCTGTTCGACGACACTAAATATGAGGGGTGACAGTTCTCCACCGAGGGCGACGTAATTATGATGAAGTGGTGTATCCGGATGGAAACGTCGATGCCACGAACTAATTCCCAAACGACTCTCCACACTGTCTACAATCTGATGAGTCACGCTTTCGACGTATTCAGGAACACTCTCGAACGCCTGGTAATTGAACCACGGGGAAAGCTGCAAATCAATAATACCAGTCTCTGGATCAAGCACCAGATCGTTGTCTTCAGTGTCAGGATCAGCCATGCAACAATGACCAACACAATCGGACTATAACTCTGCTCCAGCAGATCTGACAATATGAGTGGGCCTGACTGAAACAACTCTGACCCAATTTAGATCCGGTTCGGGTTTGAACCAAAATAAACCAACTAAATAATTAGGGGGGGCTGAACAAATTAATTCAGATCCAAGAGCTTGTCCTCTTCATTCGTTCTGAGGGAAAGGGGAAGACGCGGGCAAAGGAATGGGCTAAGCAGGGATTCTGTCGGGGTTTGAAGAGAATGAGCGGAGGGGATATAGGTTCTTGGCTATGAAAGTTGAGGGGGAAGATGAACAGTAGTGTTTTCATTTTTTTTGTGAGAAAAAAGAAACGACGGCTGGGAACAATGAACAGTGAATGAATTAAGCTTAGGGTTTCACACCATGATTAAGTCAAAATTCAATTTCATTCATCAATATTTCATTCTGATTACAAGAGTCCTTAAATAAAGAAAATTACAAAATTGGAAGATTCTCTAAATCCCTCAAATCTCTCTCATAATCAAATACAATCAATTAACTGATTAGCTACCAAATAAAATCAAAATTCAAATTCGAAATTCAAAATTCAAAAATTCAAAATTTAAATCTAACAAAATAGGAAGTCTGCTCAATCCACTCTAGCTGCCGAATCTGTCATCAATCAAATCAAAACCAGATATTAGAGATCCGGTACAGAGCTGAAACACGGCATCTCTTGCGCTGATAAACACGGTGAAAGTCCCGTGCACATATCTAGATGTCCTCATCAACTATCCTCTTTTTTTCTCTTTTCTTTTCGTTTTCTCTTTCCTTTTCTTTTACACTGATAGGTAGGTGAATGTGGAGAATCTATCATCCTAATAATGATGCATTCAAAAACAAGAAAAATTATCCAAATCCAATCTTTGTGCTAAGCAGATGATTGTGTTAAGCTTGTCGGGATAAAACATGAAAATGATAGGAATTTCTTAATATTTCAAGAGGAAAACGTTGGCCCTCATATTGGTCCAATCTCCAATGAAGGTCACAAGTTAATGTGATAGGCCTCAGTCGCTTTACAAAGCAATTTGACACCCCTTCTACTGGCTGAGATCATAAAGAAGTGTACTCAAAAGTCCCATGAGAGAGATTCTCAAGTGGATATGTTGATTTAGCTAGTCACTGTATGATAAGAGAAGCAAATAATTGTATGTTCCTTTCTTTGTTTATGTCCATTAGTTAGTATAAAATTGTCTTTGCTGCTGTTTTTATGTATGGTCTAAAAGAATTGATATCTATCTCTCACTAGTAAACTTTTTTTTTCTTTGAATTAGTTAGAAAGTCAATAGATTTGGAAGAATACACCCCTCCTCTTGAGCTTCTTCAAATTCTTCCTGCAAAGTCAACAATAAGGGGACGGGATGTTGGCCCTCAAATTGGTCCTAATAATCCAAAATTTACCCTGGTACTCTTGCAATTATACTGAAGTTGAGTTTTCTTTTTCGTGTTTAAGTTGCAGGATCATATTGATTGCGGAATCAATCAAAGTCATCACATGGCTTTAAATTTTGCTTCTACAGGGGATGCAAGCTTTGTTAGATCTAATTTTTGCTGTTGAAGGCTCAGTATCTGAAGCAGCAAAAAAATTGGGGTA